CCCTTAGCGTAAGAAGAAACTTATGATTGTGATACTTGTGATGATGATCTCAAAGATGTCTTCCTCCTTGTATAGATCCCTTGTTTCCTTTTCTTCTTTGTTTCTTTTTCCTCTTTGTCCTTGGAGATACAATAACCTCCTCTTGAGCCACTACCAATTCGCTGGCCCAAGCCTGTCTCTGTAACTCTTGCTGTCGAATGGGCCTTGGCATCCTGAAACCCAAGTCTGTTTCCAACATGATCTACAAACTCCACCTTTGGAATCAGACAATATTTCGACCCGAAATGTGAAACCCCAGCTGCTATTGCTTGCATTCTCTCTAGTGGCGAAGCACGGTGGAACTCCTCCGATTCAGCCGTAGCTCCGACGGTTCACCTCAGTCCTTGAACCGCAGTTATCCTCTCAGATTCCTCAGGAACATCTCTCAGCCTCCTCGTCTCTTGCCTTCGACGATTCAGTGAAAGGGTCATCTGAGATCTTAGTAACCTTCAAAGTTCTGATCACTGACTCTTCTGCTTCTTCCTCTTTCTGGTACTGCAACTGTAATGACCCGCACAAAGACCCAACAGAAGCCAAGGTAAGCAGCGTGCCAGGCTGCTTGGTGACCGAGCAGGGTGCTTGCTCTGGTCGTGGGTAGATCGTGGGTAAGCCCGTGCCTGGGTCGTGCCTGAGTGTGTCGACCACACGCCTGGTCTTAGGCATCATCACCACCTCGTGTCGAGCCTAGGACGTTACCCGTGGGTGAAGAATGGGCAAGTGGCCGTGAGCTGTCCAGCTGCTTCACCTGCTTGGGCGCGTCTATTTAAAGGTTGGCCCGACCTAGTAAGCAGGAGACACGAGAATTTTTGCCTTGTTCGAACATAACTTCTTTTCACCGTAAACTTTCATTGCAAACGGTAGCCTAGTTCGTGATCGTCCCATCCGATCAGTCCATCCGAACCGAGTAGTCCATTTTCTAGTCCACNGCGAACCATAGAGTAGTTTCGCCACGAGCCTTGTCGAGCAGGTTTGGAAAAACTTAGGGTAAGTTTCCCGTGATCGAACCTTACCATTTTCAAAGTGATTTTTCGTGCTNATCATGAATCTAATCTTAGTTCTTGATCCGATGGCTCGACTGATCTCAAATTCGTAGGTTCAACTTCGGCTAAGCTCCAGAAGATCTAGAGAGGGTCTACAGAAGGTTTCGTTCTAAACTAGGTATGATCCATGGGCGTTCCCATCTAATTTTTCATACGAAAACTCTAAGTCTTGCCTTAGTTAATTCATGAATCTTTGGAACAGATTCCAGTTCAAAGGCTAAGGCAAAATCGTTCGTAAAAGTTTAAGACAAACGCCTGTAGAAACCTTTGGCAGAACCGCAATCATTCGTTAAGTCAAAGGCGGTTTTAGTCTAGGGTTTCTTACAAGAGATTTCTTAGAGAGATTAAAGAGAAAAAGCTTAGAGTAAAGAAGTAAACCCTAAGCGTAAGAAGAAACTTATGATTGTGATACTTGTGATGATGATCTCAAAGATGTATTCCTCCTTGTATAGATCCCTTG